TTATTATATGTTCTCACATTAAATCTATATTTTTTATTCTTCTGTAATATTTTAAATAATATTTTGTTTTTCTGACACATAAATTCGGAACTGATCTGAGACTTACCGTAGTCCGGGATCCGCGGCATCATGATCCCGGCCCGGATCCAGTGCTCCAGGGGCAGAGACCCGGCCAGGGCCGCCGCCTTCAGGTGCTCCGGGTAGGCCTGGGTCAGCTGCGGGAAGCCGGTGTAGGCGAAGGCCGGGTGCTGGCCCCCCAGGGCCGTCAGGGGGTACACGGGCGCCGGGTACAGACCCGGGATGGCGCCGAGTCCCGGGTGAGGGAGGCTCAGGAGCCCCGGAGGTTTGGGGAGCAGTCCGGGCTGCAGCTGCGCGCCCCGCGGGGACGGGGTGTCCGCCCGGCGGCAGGGCGGCGGGCTGCCCGCGGGGCTGCCGCCGCTCAGACCGGGGGAAGGGTCTCTGCCGCCGCGGGGGGGCTCCTCCGCGAGCAGCGCGTCGATTCGGAAGTTTTTGGATTTCTCCATGAGGGACTGAGCTGCAGCTGCAGGTGGAGGGAAAGGTGCGCACCTGTGCAGACTCTGACCCCTCCGGTCTCCTTTCTGAGCCGAACCGAGCCGAACCGAGYAGAACTCCCCAAATGTTCAGTCAGGACAGACCAGAGGCTGGGATCTCCTCCATCCTGAAGCTGCACCTCTCCATGAGCGCAGCGGGAACCGCAGAGGTGCGCGTCCTGCGCSCGCCGGCCGCGCTGAGCGCTGATTGGCTGCGGCCTCCCTGACCCGCCCCTAATCAGCTAATTACCCGCCAGACAGAGTGAGAACAAGTCCACCTGTCCCCCCTGAGGACATGTCCACTCTCTGTCCCTCCTGAGGACACCTTCAGATTCAGGACCTGCTCCAAGCCGCTCTGTCCATCATTTAGGCTGCATTTTAAAACCGATATTCAGTTCAGCTCGGATCAGGGTGGATCAGGGTGGACTAAAGTCCTGCAGGGACTGAACGATCTGAGTCCAAAATGAGACTAAAGACAGTTTCATCCTGAAAAATAAACTGAAAAATCATTTCGTTCAAAACTTGAAACATTTTATTTAAACCTTTGCCCTCGTGCACACACCTCGGCAGGTTGAAAGGAGCCGCCTCTGAACTACAAAGCTGAAGTTTATGGAGGCGTTCGCGTTTTACTGAAACATTAAAGAGCTTATCAGTCATTACAGCACATTTCTCAATCATTAGACAGATGAGGGACAGATGAGAGACAGATGAGGGACAGACGAGAGACAGATGAGGGACAGATGAGAGACAGACGAGAGACAGACGAGGGACAGATGAGAGACAGATGAGGGACAGATGAGAGACAGATGAGGGACAGATGAGAGACACACGAGAGACAAATGAGAGACAGACGAGAGACAGATGAGGGACAGACGAGAGACAAATGAGAGACAGATGAGAGACAGATGAGGGACAGATGAGGGACAGACGAGAGACAGACGAGAGACAGACGAGGGACAGATGAGGGACAGAAGAGGGACAGATGAGAGACAGACGAGAGACAGATGAGGGACAGATGAGAGACAGACGAGGGACAAATGAGACAGATGAGACAGATGAGAGACAGACGAGGGACAGACGAGGGACAGATGAGGGACAGATGAGACAGACGAGGGACAAATGAGACAGATGAGACAGATGAGAGACAGACGAGAGACAGACGAGGGACAAATTAGAGACAGACGAGGGACAGATGAGGGACAGATGAGGGACAGATGAGGGACAGACGAGGGACAGACGAGGGACAAATGAGAGACAGACGAAGGACAGATGAGGGACAGACAAGAGACGGATGAGAGACAAACCGCCCCGTCCTTAAACTACTCCAAACCCTGCTGCCAAAAGACAAGAGGTCTGTTAGGAAAATATCTCATGACTCACTGATATTGAATTGTTTATTTGTTTACAACTGATTCAAGATGGCCRCCACAGCTGATGGACCTAAAATGTCTCAAACTCAGTTTTACAGATGAGTTTAATCCAGGTGTGTTAGCACAGAGTACTGGTTCGTTTAGTTTAAATCTGGTCGTCTCCAGTCCATCTGATTCGTTGTATTTTCTTATGTCGTTGCGACAAAAAAGGCTGTTAAAACTGTGTTTTCCCAGCGGGCCTTGAAGGCATCACAGGCTCAGCACTGATAAATGATCCGGGCAACAAAGAGGCTTCTGTGAGACTCAGATCAAGTTCAAGATCTTTATTATCCCCAAAGGGGTAATTTGTTGTACAGCCAATAGACATAAAAACAACTAAACAAAAACATTCATACACAAAAATCACAGATGTTCGTTAAGAAATTTGCCTGCTGCTGGGATAAATGAGTTTTTAAATCTGTTTTTCCTACATTTGGTCAACTGGTATTTGTGTCCAGACGGGAGCAGCCTGAACTCATCAGGGTCTGCCAGGATCAGTCTGACCTTCTTCACTGACCTGAACTCGTGTAGGTCAGTGAGATTTTGCAGGTCAATTCCAGCAATTCTGCTGCACGTCCTGATTAGACTCATTCACTGAGATAAACTGTGATCAATTAGCCCACCTGATGCTGGACCACATCTGGTCTGGACCACATCGGACTTGGACCATGTTTAACTTGGACCATGTCTGACTTGAAACCATGTCTGACTTGAAACCATATCTGGTTTGGATCATGTCTGGTTTGAACCATGTCTGGTTTGGGTCTGGTTTGAACTATGTCTGGTTTGAACCATGTCTGGTTTGGGTCTGGTTTGAACTATGTCTGGTTTGAACCATGTCTGGTTTGGATCATGTCTGACTTGAAACTATGTCTGACTTGGACCATGTTTAACTCGGACCACGTCAGACTTGGACCACGTTCAGCCTGCACCACATTGTACCAGACCATGTTGGGTCTGGACCCCGTTCAGCCTGGACCTTAGGACCAGTTGAAGTTGTCTCATTATGGAGATAAATRTAATTTATTAGAGTTTCGGTTCTCTTGTCTCGTCATTTATTAACCAGTATTGAGCTTCCTGGACGTTTGTTCAGCTTTTTGTCCCACCCAGACGAGACAAAGAACCGTTCTCCCTCTCACCCTCCCGCAGGGACAGTCGAGTCACTGGTTCGCTCAACATGTTTTTTGGAATCCCACAGGTGAAATTTGTTTTCGAGGTTTGATCGATCCAGACCTGATTTTAGTCTCAGACCCTGAGAAAGGTCTCAGGGTCTCAGCAGGATCAGGGAGGTTCAGACCTCTCTCTCCTCTTCTGAGAGGAATCAAAGCTGTCCCCAGACCAGCTCAGAGACATAGTCCTTCGAAGGACCCAGTCTAGGTGGGTCGTGTCCTTTGAAGGACCCACCTAGACCCAATCTAGGTGGGGTCCTTCGAAGGACGCAGACTACTCAGACCAGGTCTTTCAAAGGACCTGGTCCACCTAGATTGGGTCTTTTGAAGCACAGGACCCACCTAGACCAGATCTTTTGAAAAACAAGGCCCACCTAGATTGGGTCTTTTGAAGGACAAGGCCCACCTAGACCAGGTCCTTCGAATGATATGGCCCACCTAGACCAGGTCCTTCGAAGSATACAGCCCACCTTGACCAGGTCCTTCAAAGGACCAGGCCCACCTAGATTGGATCTTTCAAAGCACACAGCCTATCTAGACTGGATCTTTAGAAGCACGCAATCCACCTAGACCCGGCCCACCTCGACCGAGTCCTTCGAAGGACGTGGCCTACCTAGAGCAGGTCCTTTGAAGGACCTGGTCCACCTAGATTGGGTCTTTCGAAGGACAAGGCCCACCTAGACTGGATCTTTTGAAGCACGCAGCCCACCTTGACTGAGTCTTTCAAAGGATGTGACCCCTAAGTTTGGACACAGCCCATGTGTCTCCAGGATCTTCCCTGAGGTCTCTTTACAGTTGGACATGTGCAGAACATGTGTCCATAGGAGGCGTCCCGGGTCCACCTGGATCTCCTGGATCTGAGGTCTGGTTCTCTGGGTCTTTACTCAGAGTTTAGGTGAGGTCTGGGTCATTTCGACGGACCAGGACTAAGTCTACAGAACTGTCTGTAGACCCAGCCTCCACCTAAGACCCCGGACCTTCTTCTGGTCCATCCTGATCAGATGTCCTCGTTCAATCGGAGCTCATTAATAAAAACGTCTTCCGTCTGATAAAAGCCGTCTGAACAAATAAAACCCGGTCCGGGTCCAGAGTCTAAGCTTAGGAATTCCTCGTCTCTCCCGGCTCACCTGGTCTCTCCTCGGCGCTGAAACAAAAGCTTCTTTTCAGCGYGGTGCGGCCGGCGGGACGTTTATGAGCGTTTAATGGGTCCTTGTTTTTAACAGCCGAAGGTTTTACAGTCCAAACATAAAGGCCTCATTGTGCGCAGATCTGTGAGCGAGCAGATAAACATCTTTATCAGCTACAACAAAGCATCATTACTTTCACCCTCTTATCGCTGCGCTGCGCTCCATTAGCTTTTATCTCAACACTTAGGAGGACATTCAGAGCTATCAGGAGCTTTGAAGGTCTCCGGCCTTCGGCTGTTTACGGCTCTAACAGTTCCTCTTCTGCACAGATAAACTCCTAAACTTTCGGTTGTTTTTTTTCCCGCCGAAACCCCTGGTATCAGAAAACATGTGAACCTGCAGACGGTCGCTCCTCTGAGGACAATCCTGCTGAGGATTAGAAACGATCAGCTGACGTAATAAACACGAGCCGAAGGTCACCACGCGTGAGCCGAAACTAAACATCTGAGAATGTTGGCTCTTTTTTCAGTCAGTTGTGTTGCAGCTGTTAGTGTTTGTAACATTTACATATTTAACTTTATTCACTAATATTTTCATCACAAAAACATTTCCATCGCTTTGAAATCTTTAGCTGCTTGTTCTGTTTTTTTTACACACTTGATCCTCTTACATTTCTACACTTTAGTTCAGTTACGTTTTTATTCTTATTTAAATGTTTATTTTGAYGTTAATGTCACCATGTTTTCTGTAAATGTTGCAGATTTAACAATAAATTTGACTTCGACTTGACTTTTCTTAAGCTACTTTAGGTCTTTAGCTACTGTTCTGCCACTTATGTTTTTAGATTTTAGGAGGCCTTAGTTGCCTGATAGTTTAGCAAGTATTTTGCTACTTTTAGCCTTCAGCTAGCCCTTTGGTATCTTTAACCAACCTCTTACTTCTTTTAGCTTTTGTAGGCCTTTTGATAGGTTTAGCTAGCTTTTTGATTTTTTAGCTTTTTTCAGATTTAGCTACCCTTTTGATAGTTTTAGCTTTTAGTAGGCCTTTTGATAGGTTTAGCTTTTAGTAGGCCTTTTGATAGGTTTAGCTAGCCTTTTGCTTTTTTAGCTTTTTGTCTGCTTTAGTTAGCCTTTTGATAGTTTTACCATTTAGTAGGCCTTTTGAGGGTTTTAGCTAGCTATTTGCTTTTTTAAGGCTTTAGTCTTCCGACTAGCTTCTTGCTTCTTTTAGCAGGCTTTTTGTTGGTTTTAGTTAGCCTTTTTCTTCTTTTAGCATTTTTGTTAGTAATAGCCAGTCTTTTGATACCTTTAGCTTTTAACTAGCCTTTAGCCAGTCCTTTGCTATTTTTAGCTTTTAACTAGAATTTAGCCAGCCTTTTGCTACTTTTAGCTTTTAACTAGCCTTTAGCCAGTCTTTCGCTACTTTTAGCTTTTAACTAGCCTTTAGCCAGCCCTTTGCTATTTTTAGCTTTTAAATAGCCTTTAGCCAGCCCTTTGCTATTTTTAGCTTTTAACTAGCCTTTAGCCAGCCCTTTGCTATTTTTAGCTTTTAACTAGCCTTTAGCCAGTCCTTTGCTATTTTTAGCTTTTAA